CATAAAACCAAAAACCTTATAAGGCCGCAACCAAAACTTCGAAGTTAAGCTTTCTAAAAAAGCTTGGTTGAATTTTTTCTTAGGAACCTTTACAATCAAAAACGTATAAAAGTTGACAGTACTTTATTGAAGCAAACAGAATTTGTATTTAAACCAAAAGGTCATGAACACGTTAGACACTTTAGTCAAATATAGGTAAATGACATAACGGTAAAGAATACCCAGCAACTAGCTACCATCTAGCAAGTCTTGTAGCGACGTGGAGAGCAATTTTTTAATTAATGTTGTCAGACTTACACGTTCCTTGGCAAAAAAAAAAATTTTTATATATAGTTAATTTTTATTAAAGGGATTAATTGAGCCTAAAATGTTGTAATATTTATACAGTTATAGTCCAAATCCAAAAAAATAGGAACCCCTCCCCCTAAAAAAGTTATTTGCTAAATTTGCTAGGAGCTAATAAATTGAGTTATAATGTAACTAACATCACCAAGAGACAAGAAATTATTGCTTTAAAACGAATTTTCAAAGATTCGTCAACTTTTACATCTTATTATGAGACATTTTTATTTTTTTTAATCGCGATTTTCCTTCAGAAATGCAAGATATTGCTGAGCTTGTTGCTTTTGTAATCTTTTTGAATAGTTTGTAAAACATTTTTTTTTTAGTTTACATTTGTTGTTGTAGTAAATAAATTACTTTCACAAACACAAATAAGGTTTCTGAAAGAAGATCGTACTGATCTTATCATCAGAACCTATTACAAGCTTGTGTATATAAACTACATCAAAACATAATCAACAAAATAAAACGTAATTAACAATAAAAGTTTTAAAGAAAATATAAAATTTTAATTAAAAAAACCTGACTACATCATCCATTAAAATAATTAAGTTTTTGAGTTTATATTTGAAAAAGGGAAAAGTAAAAGGGTCATTCCACGCCAAACGGTCCAATATCCAAAATCTTTCCCGCTCGACCATCTCCGATTTAAATACAATTTTATCAGTATGTTTTTAAACATGTTTCATGAACATTGCCAAATTTTTAGATCAAAATGTTTATTATTTTGGGTTTTGTGGTGTTTTTTGTAAGGCTTACTCAAACTTCAATATCAGTCTGTTGCTAAAAACTGCATTTTTGGGTCTTATATTTTCGTAATGAACAGGTAAAATATCTGGTAAAAAAACGTGGTTTCTTAGTAAAACGAAGATGGAGATTACAAAACAATTAATACAAGTTTCATATGATGCCTATATATTAGTCTATGGTTTACCAAATACCGTCACAAGTTCAAAACCATACATTTTTTCTGTTTTTTGTAGGGTCATATCTCCAGAACAAAAGATTTTTAAGTATTGTTATTTTGTATAAAGGTTATACGTACTATCATAATGTTAGCGATAAAAAATCAGCTTTTTTATAGCCGTCTTTTTTGAGTTATTTTGAAAGCAACATAGCGACAAAAGTAAAATACCCTAAAAAAGCGTGTGTTTGAAGCCCTAAAAATCAATGTGGGCAAATTTATTTAATTTTTTTAATTGTATTGTTGGAAAGAGCTTACTTCACACTTCTAGAAACAGTAAAAACTGTTTTGGAGAGATTTTTTCTATGAACTAAAAAAGCTAGTTTTTATGAGCTAAGTTTGGTCTGCAATGTCTTTGATATTTTAAAAACGATATTAAGGTCCTTTAATTAACTAAATCCATGTAGAACTAATTTTAGTGAGTAAGTATATTTTTATTCTACGGACAAATCTCTCCAAATTAATTTACAAATTAAACACCTAATATTGTAAGACGAAAATCAGAATTGAAGTTAGAATAAGAGTTATTTTAAATTTATCCTGACATGTCTGTTGAACTAAACTTAAGTACCTGTTGCACGGCGATTTTTTTTGCCTTAAAAATTCCCAAAGCTTTATTTTAAGAAATACAAAATTTGGTCCAAAACGTCCGCAATTTTTTATTTTTATGGAAAGTTGCAAAAAATTACCATCTTTAGCATTGAATTAGGGCTATAAATATAAGTTTATGTATTTTTGAATATTATTTATTTTTAAGTGTAAACATATATCATGCATTTTTTTATAAAATCTGCTCTTTAAAAGTTATATTGATATTGAAATTCAATTTATTTAAGAAACTAGTACTAAAACTAGAAATAATCAGCTGGATAGACTAAATGACGGTTTCCTTAACTATCAATGTTATTATTTATAAAGATAAATTTCTATTTGATCTCAAATTCCAGTTTACAACTATATGTCCAAACTACAGTTAAATAGTAGTTTTAAGCAAAATAGACACAAAAATCACTGTTTTTTAATGAAATACATATATATTTACGACATCAGTCATCAGAAGGTAAATGTTGTAAACTGGAATTTTAGATATGTACATTATGAACCCATGTGTGAATTTTTAGATCATAAGATGCATTATGGATGGAGTCTATCCACGAGTTTGATAATTTAATTTTTTTAGTATCACAGACAGAGCAATTAATTGATGATATTGTGAAACTCAAAGAAGATAAAAACGTTATTCAACAAAGTGTTGATGCTGCCTTAAATAAACAAGCAGAGATTGAAAAAGAGTTGAATGTTTTGAACACCCAATATGAAAAAGTTAAGCTACTGATTGACCAAAAGTAATATGCAAGAACAAAACGATCAAAGAATCTAACAACAGACATTATGATTAATGATACAGCATGTTCAACAAAATATCGGAGAAGAGATGAGTCACGTAATATTATGGAGTTTATTCATGGTGGCAGTGATGGTGCTATTTATGGTGCGTGGGATCTTCTATGTTATATTACTCCAATAAAATTGATGGAGCAGTTTACAGCAAATTACAAACGAGGAAAGTTCCTTGAAAATTTATGTGGATCAATTTCAAATAGCTATGTCAAAAGTAAAACTGGTTTAAACAAAGCAGTTGCCTTGAAATATATTAATTTTTTATCACAACGTAAGTACAATATGATATGCAAAGTCCAAAAATCCACATTTTCAGACAATTTTTCAAATATTTCCTCTGTAAATTCAGTTCAATACGGCAATGTCAACTATGAATTGAACATGTCAAATGTTTCAAATGCAAACATTGAAAAGTTTGTTAAGTCATTGGATATCGGGGAAATCCATCAAATTCCAGGCTCTAGTGGAGTCTCAAGAACAGTGACTGCATTAGTAACAATGATAGCTGATTTAAATTTAAAAGTGAAAGTCCTAAACAAAAAACTTGTTTGGTTTAATGGTAACATTAACCATTTTTTTGTTGAGTTTTCTGATGATGGAGCTCCAGAGTGTCAAGAAAAAACCATGACGATTGGGACTTTATCAATGTGGAATTTTGGCAATCGCATCCGTAGTAGGGAGTTTCATTATCCACTACATATGATAACAGCCAGTGAAAAAGATAAAGTGTGTGAACTGTTGTGGAAGCAGCATTCCAAAGAAATGGAGTTGATTGAAAGCAATGTCTTTAACATCAATAACATTAAAACAACTTTTGAATTTGTGTCTTCAGCCGATATTTCATGGTTGTGTTTTGCTGCGAATGTGTTACCAACAAGTGCAACTTATCCTTCTCCATTTGCTAACGTGCATAAAAGTGAGTTAACACATCGAAATAAAACTATTGGAGGTGCTGAGGCAACATGGCAGGTGCCAACCATGGATACACGACTGAAGGAATTAACAATCCTAAAAAAGTTTGAAAATACACAAAATGTGAATGCTTCAGAATCCGCAAGACATAGCGAAAAGTTAAATTTTATGGCAGAAAACGGAATCCGTCAACTTGGGGAACCTCATATTGGAAAATTTGCTGATTTGATTCGCCCAGAACCACTTCATTTAAAGATAAATAATTGGCAACACGTTCTTGATTTAATTTATAAAGAATCAGTTCGCCGTGGAGTTTTTGACCAATTTATAGATGCTTTAAGTAACCCACCTAAAGAATCAGATGAATTAGGGTGTGGTTTAAAGTTTCTTGCTAAGAATATTAGAAAACATTATGAAAATGAAAGTAAAAAATTGAACAAGTTAGAAACAAGGTTAATTGGTGCTCAAGCGATTGCATTAGCTCAATATAGTTTTCGTTTGGTAGATATTTTACAGGTTGCTAATGAAAGTTGTATCGAGAAACTTAAAAGAGCTGCCTTGGCTAAGATATGTGAATCTTTGGTTGATGCTGGAGTTTTAATCAACAAGTTTAATTTTACATCAGAAAATTATCCGGCAGAGGTGTCTTAGTACTGCAGCACTTATTTTAAATTATTTTCATTGTATTTTCCAGAAAGCTGTCAAAGTACGGTATGGACAATGGGATACGTTGTACCGTATCATGCATTGGAAATATATAAAAAATATCATGTTGGCTATGGAGTTTTATCTATGCAGGGAAAAGAATCTAGCCATTCATCTATAAAACAGCAACTTAGAAATAACACCAATCGATCAGTTTCATATGACGAGCAAGGAAAATGGCATCAACTGATGAGATCTAATTTTGTAAGAAACTTTTATCTCCCTTATCATTTCCCTAAAAACATCACTTATCACTCACACTACAAATCAAGAGTACCAGCTGACTTAAACAGCGAATCAATATGTCATTGTTCACGACAACTTATTACAGAACAACTTTGTGAATGTTGCATTTTTGCAGTTCCATTAATGCAATGTGTTGAGAAAGGGGAACTAACCGAAGACGTTTTGGCTATTTTAAAACCATGTCTATGTCAAATTTGCAATGAACAATTTGCTGACAAAAACAAACTTTTTAAACACTTAACAGCACACACTAACAAACAAGTAGTCAATATTATTCCAAGAGACCTTTCATTAAAACAGTTAAAAGATGATCCAAAATTGTTTTGCTTTTGCAATTAACTTTTTTATAATATTAATTTTTACCTTCGTCGATAAAAGACGTCACCATTTTTCAGGCAAATTTTTACCCTTCCTTTGTTATGACTGTCCT